TGGACAGAGACAGGGGCGTGCTGAGAAGGGGTGTGGACGCCTCATCGTCGCAGGGATGGAGGCGCTCTGCCATTTCGGGACTCAACAACAAATTACAATTCGAGGATGGTGGTGGTGGCTAGCTTACGGGGTCAAAGGGACCTCGGCACACAGTGGCAGAACGCTCGATGAGGCAGCACTACACGTGTCTTGAAAGAGAGTGGGGGTCATAATGCTGACGGAAGACCTCGCAGTGACGCCCATGTGGCTTTCACCGTCGCGAGGTTGAAGGGGAATTCGAGGAGATGAGGATGCGGTGCTGGATGTGAGCTGAGAGGAACTGTGGAAATTTCCTCTTATAAGAACACAGTGGCGCACCCGACCACAGTATCACAGGCTGAGAATGGATTGTGCAAAGTGGAATGATTGGTAATAACAGGTGTTGTCTAGGGAAGGGGGTCGAGGAGGCCTGAAAATATGGAATGGGAGACAAAAATGGCTGTCAGTAGCAGTTCATCTGGGGAAAATGGGGTGATTATAGTTATAAAAACGCTATACCAAATAATGATTAAAAGTTTTGCTAAGTCATCTATATCGCTATATTAAAACCTTTTTTGTGGAATTTATGGTATTATGTTTTGGAAGAAGAGAGGATATAATCCATTCTAACCAATAATGGAGACACTGGTGGCAACACAGAAGACAGGGACAGATACCGACACGCTCCAAGCCACCAACAAACACATGGGCAGACACACACTTGCAGTGAGACACGGTGTCTACAGTGAACACAAAGCACAGGACGCCACACCAAGAACAGCAACGCGCTTTGGCAAACAAGCACACCGCGCCACGCACCATTTGTTTGCTGGCTGATGACCAGGTTAATCATGCAAACGTTCCATCAATCTCAATTCAAGCTGACACGTGAACCTGAGATGAATTAACGCGGCACGTCTCGCAACCGCCGGCTCTCGGGATCCTTGGAAGCAACTCCGTGATAGGATGCCGGCCAAGAACGACGCACGGTGGATGTCCTCTGCGCCCCTCCCTCATTACCAATATCTCTTCCACTTGTACTTCTTGCATAATCTTGAATTTAGTAGTACACCTACATCATGCTGATATTACTATACGTATGAATGAAATATCCTATTTTTTTCCATCAATTTCAGCGGAAATGATTTACGAGTCTTATTCATGTTCTTTTTTCTTCCATATTCAATTTCCACCACTGGACATCGCAGATGAAATCGACCCATTTACATTATACATAGATGCCCAATTAGTAAAAAGTAAATTTAAATAAATAACTGAATATAAACAAACCAATAAATAGACAGAACAATGAGAAAAAAAAAGATTGATAAAAACTAGACGTACGGGCCGGGGTGAAATTCATGACGGTTCTCCGGTAAGGAACCACGTACTACAGAACCGCCGTGTTTCGCCGCCCTGATCATTCATGGGCGGCATTCGAGCTGGCACAATGAGGGCGGGCGTGAGGGGTGGGGGCGGGAGGCGTCAGAGGGAAAGTGAAAAGGAAAACAGACGAGATGCGATGGGAGCGATGATAAATGAAAGAGATAAAAAAGACGACGGGAGGAATAATATAATCGAAGCTCCTATATGGATCAGGAAGAAATCCAAACTGTAATAAATCTCCTTCTCGCACTCGGGCGTCGTAGCGAGTTTCGAAAGGTCGAAATATTAGAAGAGAGGAAGTATAACCATATCTTAAATACAACGTAAACTGTAATTCAGTTCTCCCGCCTCCCCCTACTCGAGTACATTTAAACCTTTCCTTGTGGCAGGTGATTCTAAATAAAACCCTAGAACAGGGTGACGAAACCTCTTCCCCTCTGTCTTTCCCCTTCCTCTCTCCCTCTAACCCCTTCCCCTCACCATCTACCCCTCCCCCTCTCACCCCATCCCTTCACCTCTTCCTCCTCCCTCCCCCCTCCGCGTCCCAAGCCTCCTTCCCCGTCATCCTTTGGTCCGGTTTCTGACAGGTATTGAATGTCACACGTACACTTCCGTGTGTTCTTGTGCGCCAATGCGTGTGTCTGTACGCGTTTTTGTGCGTGCGGGAATTTCCGTACCATTGGAAAATTGTAGTAAAAAAAATGTACTACGCAACATCTGCAATGAACTGTTAATAAGTGCTAATGCAGTGTGGCCATAACATCATGTTTTATAACTGTCTTTCGATCCACTTATCGGTCTATCATACCACTATTACTAACTCAAATCGGTTTCAGCTTCGTACAGTCTCGGTATTCACAGATTAGATTATGAAAATAAAAATACTACTGCATATCAGTTATGTAATTAACAGTACAAAGTCTTACACTTATCCACATGACAATCAATCGGCACTTGACACAGTAGCTGTTTGTACAGTTGGCACGATGGCACAGTGGCAGTGTGTCAACAGCGCGGTATGTGACACAACGTCACTTCGTACCTAAGTGACTCATCGGCAACCTGTCAAAATATCGGCGCCACGGCTTGCTGACGT